AGTTTATTGATGGCGGGAAGCACCATTTCAATTGTATATGAACAAATGAATCTCATCAAACCTTGATAAGGAAGAGCTATCGCCACAATTCTCTTATCTTTCTTATCGCGTTTAGAGATGATACATGTTCTTTTTATTCTCATTCTTCTTGCAGTATTCACCCAAAGAGCTATGAGAATTGGGTAACTTAATGTACATCCAAAAATAGATCTTCAAAGCAACATGAAAATCCAAGTGCTAAATCCGTCTTTTTGGGCCTAATGGATCTAGCTTGTTTATCACACATTTTGGAGCACCAATACTGACCGGATCGTATGTACATGCTAGTTACTCTTGGAGGTGACACCTGTTAGATTTATCTCTTAGAAGATTACGCAAGTTTCTTTGACTGAACTCCCCTGTATTGGTGTTCAAGCGAGCTTCTTCCACCAAGTGGCCTACACTTCTCGAGCTCTTTTATCAAATTTGCATGTGCCTAGCAAGCTCTCTAATCTAGCTCACCTGTATTTATCACGTGCATTTAATAGTTCTTCATAATAACAGAAAGAAAATTTAGTTCCATTAACGTCCATGATTGTTTATTGACTGCACGACATTCACATCTAGGAACTTACCAAAGATGAGTCTTCACATGCTCCGTACAACACGACCTACAATATAGTATTTGTTTATTTTTTGTAGCCCTGTGAGGGCAAGTACATTATGAGAGTTTTAAATAAGGAGTAGAAGGGAAGGTTGGGAGAGTTTTCTTCTGTTCTTAACCACCATCAATAACGACACGCACGCTAAAAAATACTCAGCTCCCTTCTACCTCTTTTGCAAGGTCTCTCCCAAATTATAAGAACCCACGGATAATACAAGACTTTATATCCTGAAGGGATTCAACAATAATTGTATTTTATATTGCTCGTGATGGGCTTGCATCCCAACTTAACACATATATTTCAATATTTTTTGTTGTGATATAACTATTCACTGTTGAGAGTGTGCAATCTCAATACCAAGAAAATACTTTAGCTTGCTTGGTTATTTGTCTTCAAAGTCTTTAAATAAATTTTCTTTAAATTCTATATTCTTTTAGCATCACCATCTATTATGATAATATGTTGAACATAAACTGGTATTGTTAAGACTCCTGAAACTGTGTTGTGTTTTATAAATTGTATATGGTCTTTTTGACTTTTTTTACATTCATCATTAAGTATTACCTCAATGATTTTCTTGAACCGTGCCCTTGGAGATTACTTCAATTTATACAATGCCTTTGTTATCTTACATAGCTTTGTTCTATGTTTGAACAAAATACTAGTGATTTTTCTATATCCAATTCCTCTATTAGGTCAACATATAAGAAATCATTCTTAACATTGTATTATTGTATTTTCAACTCCATATTCGTTGTAACGATAAAAAATCTTGAACAATATTAATTTTAGCAACTAGAGCAGTTTTTTGAAGTAATCAATCTCATGCCTTTGATACACCTTTGACAGCAAATGTAGCTTTATATCTTTCTAATGAATTATTTAACGTATACTTTACTGTAAAGATCTATCTATTTTTCACTTGTTTCGTTCCTTACTGTAACATTATTAATTTCTATATTTTATTTTTATTTGAAGTGCTTACATTTTTTTATTTAATCGCTCTACCTCTCATTATCTAATGCCTCAGTGATTATCTTAGGGATAGAAGTAGTATGCAAGCTAGTGTGAAATGCTTGGTGATTATGATTTTGATTTTTGTAAGAAAAAAATAAATGTAAAGGGTGTTACATTGAAGTTCTTGTACCTTTGTTACTAAGACTCCATTTAGTTGCATTTGTAATAGTTTCCTTAAGAAATTTATTAATAAGGATTATTTCGTTTGATTGGACTTGCATAAACTTAGAGATTGATGTCTTTAATTTTGAATATAGCTACAGTGCTCACTAACTAGTAATTAGGTATAGACTTGCTTTGGTTAGGAGTAATTCTCGGATAGAATTTTTTGCTGTGATGAGCAATAAGGATAAACAATTTAGTAAAAAATTTTCTCTTATCATTTATGAATGACATTTTTTTCTAAAATTAAGTAATAATAAAATAGTATTTATTTCATTGAAAGTGTGATCAACAAGCGCATGCTTTCCTAAGCCAATGCTCCTAAATATTTATGGAACAAGTTAATTTGATGTGTTAAACTGAATAAATAAATTGGTTAGGACTTATATAGGACTTCAGACGCAATAACTCTTGTTGGTGACTTAGTTTATGATGTCTTTTGTTGCTAAAATATCTTCTCTCTAAGAACTTTTTGGAAATTTTTTTATGAAGGAGAGTCATTATTGTAGTAGGTAGGTGGCTTTTTTTTCTTTCAATAAGTCTGTTTTGTTAGAATCTATGCACGTAAGAGGATTCATGAATTATATTGTTCTCCTAGTAGTAAGCGGAGGGATAGTGATTAAAATAGACTTTGACCTCATTTGATTAACTCATTTTATTTAATGTCAAATTGATTTTTGATCTTATTGTAAAAGGTGAAAAAAATGGCATTCACATTATTTTTGTCTTTTGTAGAAAAAAATTATGACACGGATATGATTATTAATAAAAGAAAGAAACCATTGAGCTTAGAGTATTATTTATATTGGATATTCTCCAAATGTCACTATGATGAAAAGAAAAAGATTTAAGGATATTTCTGTCACTCATTGCAGGCTAGTAAAGTTTTTGTTTTGTTAGCTCACAAATATCACAAAAAAAAATTTATTAATATTGATTTTCTTTGAATAATGAATGAAGTTTTGAGGAAAAACAGATGGGTGACAGATGTAGATGTTGAAGTTTGATTTTTTCTTTATTGGGTTTTAAGATTCTTAAAAGAAGAGATTATATTGAAGGTTGTATGTAGTTTTTCTCGATTGTTAGATTTCTCAAAGTGATAGATAGCATTTCTTTCTTTAGCTAATGCAATTGTCATCATCTTGTTGTAGTATTGAATGACACAATATGAATGATAAAACACAACTCTACGCCTAAAAGTTTTAGTTTGGGGATAATGGGCTGGTATATGGATGTTATTTTAGAGTGTGAGAGATTTATTTGTAAGAGTATTTACTTAAATGGCAACAATTTGAAGAATTCATCAATAATAATTATTTTTTTGTTGCTAGGACAAGAGGTATATGAAATAAATTTATAAGTGTTGGTCATATAGTTTGTAACTCTTGAATAATTTAGGAGCTAAAAATTGACATTTCTATGACTTCTAAAGCATGATAAATGGAGTTAACACTTGGGAATGCTAAAGAATGAGTACCTACTATGTATATTTTATTTTTAAGTTCTTTTAACAATTTGTTTAGCCTTCTATTTCATCTTCATGGAATTCAGTGGGTAATTCTGTAGTGCTATCTTCTCCTACATGTGTTATATATGCATGTCTCTATTCTTTGAATGTCTTCCTTGTGTTATCAACTTTTGATTTTTGGTTTGTCATGAAGTTTTTGGCATCTCTCGTTTGTATGTTGAGCCTTTTTGCAATGTGTGTGCCATGGAGTATCTCTATCGATCATCTTTGCTAGGGTGGTTATTTGTGGTTCTTAATAGGAGTGGGCTTTGAGTTGAGGTTCTTGATATTGACAACCTTTGTACCAAGGTTGGGCCCTCCATTGAGTTTATGATTGTAATTCTGCTTATTCCTTATTTTGTCTTGATGATGGCTGATTATGGCAATGACTTCGTTTAGTGATAATAACTTCTCTGTTCTGAGAAACTTTTCTCTTATAGTAGCAAACGCAAACATCTAAATCAACAAGAAAATCATATATGCAGCCTTCTTAACGAACCTTTAAAAAAAGATACATTTTTCTTGCATTTCATTTAGATTTATTGATCATGGTGCAACTCTTTTCATAGGCTTTGCAATTGGTTGGAATATTTTGTGATGGATCATGCTTCTTGTATTGTGAATGAGATCAAGTTCTTGACTACAGTTTCGTTGCGGCATCACATAGTATCCCATATATACTTCGCTGATAGAAGGAAAATTCCTTTAATAATTATATTCATAATCATGACAAAACAGAAGGATCATTTTGTTCATCTCAAACTTTAAATATGGGATCTCTTTGCTGAATGCCAAATAACTAGCCTAATTTTCTTCTCTTCATAAAGGTGTGAACCAATTGAGACCACCATATATAGTTCTTTTTCATACACGATTCACATAGTTCGAAGGAAAAAATTGATGTATATTTGCAGCTTTTGATGGAAGAGCTTCAAATATTATATTTATAAATATTTATAGTATTATGCAAGCTGCCCTGGCTTAACGGTTGCGAGCTTTGCCTTTCAACCAAGAGGTAAATCACATTTAAAAAAATATATTGAATGGTTTTTCTGCAACTCTCTTGTTGGATTCTGATTGTAACCCTTAGTCCCAAGTAACATGCAATAGAGAGAATATGAGCAAGGTTATTATTATCCAAGAAAAAAAATTGTGGTGGTAGTGTTTGGGAGTAAAAAAGAAGGAACTGATACTGGAAAATTTTATATTATAGAAATCGAGAAGAAAAGAAAAAAATGATGAACTTGGGAAATGTATTTTAAAGCTTTTATACCATGAAAAGATTGGAGAATAGTGTTAACTCCATCCTAGGAAAACTTCCAATAGGAAATATATAAAATTAAAGACCAAAAACTAACTTCAGATTTGGTTACAATAACACAGCCCATAGATGTTCCAGTTTCAGGTGAGTAGGTCACATTGGATTTATGACGTGGTAGCAATAATCCCACAGATCTGTAGTGGTAGGGAGAAGGTTTTGTGGGTCTAGGAGGGTGGAGATGGAGACAGGGGGTGTTGTGGATCCTGGTGGGTGGAATCAAGGGGCGTTTTCACAACACAATTTAATCTGTGAAATCTGTTTCATAAAACGTCTTAATCTAGCTGGTATGTAGCATCACCTATACGGTAATAAAAGTTTTATTCCATACGTTCCTTTTTCTTTGAAGCAGGCAAATTATTGTGTGTGGAGAGTTGAGTCGGCACATGGAGCTACAAACGTTGGACAAGTACATGCAAGGGTATATTGTTACTTTTGCAGAGTCGAAAATTGTTTTTTGCTTAATTATATCATAATTCTCTTGCCACTATTCATGCTTGTGCTTGCCATCAGTTTCTGTCATTAAGATTTCTAGAATGCCAATGCTTCTCAGTTAGTTTATCTTAATCTATTCTGATGTACGTTAGTTTTGTTCGTAGCGATGCATTACTCCTCTTTGGGTTGCATTTACTGTACTGATTGGAGGACTTCTATTGGATGTGCTGCTGTCCATTTTGCTTGGCGTTTCTGCGCTTCCAGTAAACATTATTATCGGTAAATTTTTTTTTTTTTTTTTTTTGTGGTGCTTCTTTATTTGCACTTCAGTACTTGCATTGCGTTTTTCTTTGTCATTTTAAGATTCCGTTGAGTGGGGATGAGAAATTCAATCTCGTTTTGTTGATTAGTTGCACGCAATATTGAATTAAACTACCAATTTCCACCTGCAAAGCTCGTCCAGTGATTAAAATATGAATCTGCTTCATCTTTTTTATTCTCCTCCAATCATTCTCATATTTGGATGCATGTATGCCTCCCAGACAAACACAAACATTTTGAGGATGAAGCATGGATGAATATATTTTTCATAAGCAAGAGGAAGAAGCCAAGAAGATTGAGATGTGTCAGAAGATGAAGCTCTATTGTACTAACACATACGTACACAAAGGATCTGTATCACAATACTTGGCCTATGTTCAACTGATTAGTAGGGAAACAGCAAATTGAAGAGGGGAAGCGAACATATACTGACAACCTAGCCCTAGGGATTTTACTTATAACAAAAGGATTTCCAGACTTGCAAGTAAAAGAATAAGGAAAAAGAAAACTAAATAAATCTTAACAAAATAAAGGAGAAAATAAATCCATATATTTCTTAAATATAAATTTCTAAATTAAATAAGAAAATATCTATTCCATCATGCCATCTATATCAAATATTACTCTAGATTTGAGGATCTTCATCAACTTTCGAGGATATAAGGGGTTGCTTGGTAGCAGACTCTTAATAGGATTCAAGCCTGAATTTCACTTGAATCCAACCAAACACAAAAAATACGAAAACGAAATGTGGATTTTCGGTACCTCCCATTCCGTATTCCCAACAACCATTCTGTCTTCTCCACACCCCTTCAAATCCGGATTTCATAAATCGCACAGGGAGCCGGATTCCATGGATTTCGCTCACCATTGCTTGCACCTTCGCTTCTGTAACGAGCCTCAAATGAAATGTGGATTTGAAACCCTATTAACGTAAATTTGATCCTGCAACCAAGCAGCCCCCAAGGAACTCTCCTTTGGAGAATTATGCTGAAGGTTTTCACCATGAAGGTCAAGAGCGATGGACTGTTGTTCACCGTGGGTCACCGAGAGCAATCTGATGGTTTGTGGCCTCTCTATTGAATAAGTAACTCTACAGACTCTTAAAGCTGAGTATAATATTTATAAGCATGAATTCAAGTTCAAAACTTGATCAAGAATCTAAATTATGATTAGATTGACTATATTATATATATCTTGAGTGCTGGGAATAAAAAAGCTAATAATGCTCGAGTGCAGCAAAAAATGTGAATGATAAGATCAGTGTGTAGCAGAACTAACAAAGACTAGAATCATATGTTTGTATGAGAGGAACCGTGCAGTGACACTTAAGGGTGGACTTAGGTAGGTCTGAAATATCACTTTGTCCTTCGTTGTCCTATTACGTCCCATATTAGTTCTAGGTGGACAATTAGACCCCCTTCAAAAGAAGAACCGGTTCTGCCCTTGATTACACCTAATATAGTTTATTGGAAATATAAAATAAATATATTATTGTAAATATATAAAATTTTGTGACTTGACATTTATAGATAAAATGTGATACAAATATATCCATGAAATGGTTGGTGTAGCTCTAGTGGAAGACAAGATTAGAGAGAGTCATATTAATATATATTTACACATTTCCTACACTGTAAATATAAAATGCTTGAATGAAACATTTGTATTCTGGCATTTAAGTTTTAAAAATTAAACAGTAAACCAAACACTAAATGTCAAACTAAAGAAGGAAAATCAATGAAAAACATCTTGGATAAAAAATTAAGTATGAAAACCAGAACTTAAAAGACCTTAATTTTTATAATAATCTAATCTAGGAGCTAAAGTATATCATGAATTAAATATAAAACTCCATGCACCTTTTCTATCTTTATCTCCAATTTTCCCTCCCTCCCCTTTTCTGCCTCTCTTTCTCTCTCTCATTCTCCTTCCCTTTTTATATCTCTCATACACTCTCATGTTAACTCTCCCTCTCTCCCTCTCACTTTCTCTCACTCGCTCTATGTGCCTCTCTCGTACCCGTTACCCTTTCTCCCCATCCTTATATATCTCTCTCCCTTTCATTATATACCTCTTTTGCACTATCTTTCTCCATTTCTCTCATCCCTCTTTCTTTCTCCTTCTCACCTTCTCTCCCGCCTACCTCTCTCTCTCTCTCACACACACACACTCAGTCCCTCTCTTTCCCCCTTCATCTCTCTCTCACTCCCTCATGCTTTCTCTCTCTCCCCCTCCCTTTCACAACCTCAATTTATTTCTCTCACACACACATTTTCTCTCTCTCTCATGCTCTCTTTTCCCTCCCTCCCTCCCTCGTCTCTCTCTCCCTCTTTATATTTTTTCTTTTTCTCTTTCTTTCTTCCTATCGTACTATATGTTTCACTCTTCTTTTCTCTTATCTTCTCCACTCAATAGCTCTCTTTTCTTTACTCTATCTTCTCTCTTTTCTCTATTCGTCTCTCTCTCACATTTGCTCTTCTTTTACTTGCTTTCTCTCATCCTTTCTCGCTTTCACTCCTACTCCCCCATCTTTTTCTCTCTTATTATCTCTTCTCAAGCTATCTAATCTCACTCTCTTCTCTCCCTCCCTCTCTCACATCTCTCTCTCTTCTTTTCTCTCACACGCACTATCTCTCTCACTCACTCACTCACTCACTCTCTCTCTCTCACTCTCCAAAAAACTTCTCCTATAACACACTCTCTCATTCACTTACACTCTCACCATCCAAATGACTTCTCCTATAACACGCACACTTTCTTATGTTCGGTTGTTGGGAATGACTGAACATATTAAGGTTCTAAGAGAAGTTCTAAGAGAAGTCTTTTGGAGGATACGACTTATATTCAAGTCATTAAAGATATGTACACTAGAGTTGTTACCATGTTTGAGCAGGAGGATTGACCAATTATCTTCCTATTTTAGTTGGTTTACATTAGGGAGCATTATTAAGCCGATGTCTTTTTGCTTTAGTATTTGATGCTCTTACTGGAAATTTATAGGAGGATGTACCTTGGTGTATGCTTTCTGTTGATTATATCCTTCTTATGGATAAGACTACAGAAAGAGCTCGGTAAAAACTTGAATTATGGAGGTTTATATTAGAGTCTAAGGGCCTTAATTTGAGTAGATTTAAAACTGAATGCATGGAATGTAATTTTAGTAATGGTGGGTCTAGTGGCAGAGTTGTAACGAGGGGTGATCAAATCATTAAAAAGTGTGAAGTTTTAGATATCTCAGGTCTATTGTTCAAAGTGACTGTGATATAAATGGACATGTTTTTGGTAGAATTCAAGTTTGGATGGTTGAAGGGGAGGAATGCATTTGACCTATTTTGGGATAGAAAAGTACCGCTTGGACTTGAAGGAAAATTTTATAAGATGATGGTGAGATATGCAATGCTTTATGGCACATAATATTGACCTTTAAAAGAGAAGCATAAAACTATATTTAGCGTTTTTGAGATGAGAATGCTTGGGTAGATGAGTGGCTTGAGATTTACAGACAAAATTTGAAACAAATATATCCATGAAAGAGTTGTTGTAGCTCTAGTAGAAAACAAGATTAGAGAGAGTCTTCTTAGATGGTTTAGCCTTATACTCGGGATAGAAAATACATAGATAAAATTATTGACAGTGTAGGAAGGAAAATGGTTAGCCCAAACATACCATGTATGGAATTTATGCCCCCAAAAAAAAAAAAATCACCTCGAGTAGCGCTCAATGAGTAGTCGCAAAGCCAACTTCAGATAGTTTTTGATAAACTGATGATAATAATGATAAAATGGTCTAATTCTTTTCTTCTACCGTGGTATGCACTGTACCAAGACTTGTCATTATGCTTAAATATCTCAATATTCTCGTTTCAAAATCCCCATATTCTACTTTGATCTAAAAGTTTTCTAATCTGGGCGTGCATGCAGGTGTACTCATCGTGCTGGGATTGGGAACAGCTTTTCGGCTCGCATTGGAATGCTGCCATGAATGGGGCGCAAGGAGGCATGTACAGAGGATGGATGCTGGCGTTCCTGCCGGTTCCCATGCTGCTGTTTAATTTGTTTTCTACATATCAATGGCATATATAATTTAATTATATGAAAGTTAATTAATTTTTTCGCACTTTAAGCCTAAAGAAAGTTTTAATTGTGCAACCACATTGTGATTTTAGTTGAGCAGAATGTGCTTACTGCTACCAATACATTTCTTTTGATCTTCTGCTCAACCTGTGCGTTATGTTTTTAATAAAAGCTCTATTAATATTTTTCCCTGCAGGAATTTTTATTTTTCATCTTAAATTAATTCAGGTAGTGCATTTTCTTAAACCATGGTTGGTTATGCTTGTATGCAGTAGAAAGTTTAAGGTTAGAGAATTAAGGGTTATTTTGAAAGTTTTTATTAGTTAATCATTAGTTAAAAGTTTTGTTAAATACTGACATCTTTTCTCTTCTCTTTTTTCTTTTTTTTCTTTTTTCCTTTATTTGATAGCTTCAAAATAGTTGATTATTTATATAAATATTATCATAGAATTGTGTCTAATAGATTATGTGCTATGAGCCTTAGATGTATCTCTTCTTTGCTCACGAATTAACTAGGCCTGTAAAAGAGCTGAGCTTGAGCGAGCTTAGGCTTGGCTTTCGTGCTTGTTCGAAATTAGCTCATGTTAAAAATAAACTTGTGTTTGAAATTGCTTGGGAGCAATGTGTTAATTTTTAGCTCAATTTGTGTGTTTTTGTTGGTGTTCAGCTTGAAATTGGCACGTTTCAGTAGAAAAATAGATGTAGGGTGTTGTATTTGAACTTAAACCATTTTTCTGTGCAATAGAAGGTGCAAAATCCGTGATCACTTCTATATCTGTCTAAAAAACTCATTTTTTAACAATTTTTTAAATAATTTGTGTTCGATTGATTCATCAAGCAAAAGAGCTAAACATGAATAATTTTTTAAGCTGGATTTATAAACCAATAAAACAAGAATAAGCTTGAAATATTAAATAATTATATTTATTCATATAAAAAATATAAAGATATGTAAGCAAATAGAATTTGATTGGTACAATTGTAGATATGCCTAAAATTTAAAAAGTCACTTTGAAGTTCGCTGGCTTGGCTACAGGAAGACAGGAAAGGGACGCTCAAGCATTCTGCGGCGTGACTTGGTTGTAGGAAGACAGGACTGCATGCATGAAAGGTTTGAAAAAAACTCTAAAAAAAAAAATTTAAGCATATGAATTTTGAGCCAGTTTAGTAAATATAATTATTGTTTTTTTTTAATTTAAAAGAAAATAAATTAAAGTAAATAAGGTGTTCGAGTTAAATTTGAGTTGAATATTAGTTTAATTCGAACAAATAATTTTGAATCAAATCGTACACAAATACATTATTCGTGGGCCATTTCAAACATCAATTGAACATGAAAATAAATAAATAAATAAATGAGCCAAAAACAAATTAGAATTAACCTCGCTCAAACTATGCTTGTTTACACCCTAACCACAAGAGTTGTTATACTTTAAACATAAATAAATAAATTTATTTAATTTTCTTATTTTGAGTGGACACTTTGGCTTGCTTAGAATTTGAGCATAAGAAAAAATATTTGGATTCAACTCGTTTACTTACGCAAGCTACAACAAACAACGAGTTTTTCTAACAACCCTGGAATAGTAAACAAGTTTTTTTCCTTGATTGGTAGTAGTAATAATGTGCATTGCTAGGGATTGGATCCCACGTACAATGTTCTTCCGGCTCTTATAATTCACCAATAATGAGTATTTGTAGATGAAGTGTTATTCGACTTGTATAAGAAATTTTTTATTTGTGTTCAATCATTTAATTTATTAGGCGAAATGAAGCTGGTGACAGACATTAAGGGTGTGTTTGGTGCTGTTAATGAGCTACAGCGCGTTTGAAACCGCATTTTCGTATTTGGAAAATGCTTTGTAGCAGTTTATTTGGAAAATTTCACAAACCACAGGCCGCAGGTTCAACCCTGTGACAACAAAAAATTTATTATGAAGGCCCTAGAGATTTTCGCGAGCCCTTACTGTGGTGCCCTAGCTTCTCCTCATCTCTTGCAGTTGTCTGCCCTCTCTCCTCTTCCTCTATCGTGCACTAGCTCCGATTGGCGGTTTCGGTGGCATCTTTCTTCTTCTTCCTTCCTCCCTTCTCTCTGGTATCTGATTTTGGTGACACTGCCTCATATCCCCTTACAATATTCTCTACCCTACACTATTGCCAGTTATGGTTTAAGGTTTGCCCTGTGTGGCTTGCTCCTTACGAATTTTGCCTTAGGTGTATGTGCGATTGTTTGTTTTGTTTTTGGTTGCCCGTGCGGCCTTTGTAATTTTTAGCTTTGGCCTTTCTCAATTGGAGAGCATTGTGAGCTTCTTTGGGATTTCTTCTGCTCTCTGCTAGATGTTGGAATGGTTTGTGTGAAGGGGCTGATTTGAGACCCTATGTGAAAGTTGATAATTCGTGGTATGTGTTTTGGTTTTTGTGAATTTTTGGCCTCTGTTGGAAAGAAATTTTTTTTCCCCACTATGGTTTGCTTGGTTGGGGCTCTTCCCTCTTTTCTTTTGGGTTTAATTGGAGTAGGCTTGCTACTCCACTTAATGGATTAGGCAATGCTATGTTATGTTTGTAGTGGGGGTTGGAGTTGTGGTTTTTTTTTTTTTTTTGTGCCACGATAGTCGTGTTGTTGGTGGTGATATTATGCCATGGAGGTGTGTTTGTGTAGGGTATGGTTGTTTTGTGCCATGGTGTTTTAGTGACATGGTGGTGATGTTGTTGGTGATGTGTGTATATATTGGGGATGGTTCTTCAATGCCATGGTGGTGGTGTTGTTGTTGAAGTTGTGTCATGGTGGGGTGTGTGTATATTGGGTGTGGTTACTTTGTGTCATCGGGTTCGTGGTGGTGATGTTGCTTGAGGTGTTATTGGTATGTGTAGATGCTAGGGGTGGTTCTTAAGTGCAATGGTGGTGGTGTTGTTGGTAGTGATGTTGTGTCATGGTGGTGGTGTGCGTATGCTGGGTGTCATCGTTTTGTCTCATGGGGTTTTGGTGATGGTGTTGCTGGTGGTGAGTGTATGTTGGGGGTGGTTAGTTACTGACATGGTGGTGGTGCTATTGGTGGTAATGTTTTCTCATGGTTTTTATTGCTTGTTTTATTTTTTTTATTTTGGAGGTCTATGATGGGATATTCGAACTTATAGGTTCTTCTAGATGGCCTATATATTATTATTGGTTCTTGACATATGTGAATCCCAAAGAAAGCAACCGAGTTTCTTTCATTTTTCAGTCCTTATGAGGTTCTTCTAGACTTCCTTTTTTGGCGATATGCATATGTGCCACTTACGAGCTCAGTATTACGTGGTTTAAAGACAACCAATAATCCATATTTTCTTAAAGTCTACTATTTTCTTGTAATGATGGTAGTTTATAATTTGATTTTTGAGACCTCATAGTTTCATAACACTTGAATTGACTATTTGTACTATCATTTATTATTAATGTGCATATAAGAGTATATCCCTTTTTATTTTAAACCTTCAGAAAAAATGAGCTCGGGGACTTCTATTACCTCTAGAACATGGTACTGCTATTATGGACTACAATTTTCTTTGTTTACTTCACAATAGCCACATAATTATATAATACAATTTCTAGGTGTTTAAGAAAGAACAGAGAACTGCGACTTCTTAAAGTGGGCATATCGGTTTGAGGACTCCACTGCAAATACTGATCAGGCGTGGAGAGCTTCGTTGGAGGGAGGATTATCTCGTGACATTAATCAACAGTATTTAAAAAATAATATTACATATTATTAATTGTTATTTTAATAGATTTTTTAAAATTTGTTATTGTTTAATAGTGTTTGTGAGGTCTCTGTTTTTATTTTATTACATTCAAATTAAATATTTGTTTTCAAGTATGAAATGTACTTGCAGAATTGATTCTATTAAACAACATTATACTACCAGAGCAAAAAAGTCATTTCTTCAGAAATAGTTGTAGCACATCTGTTACAAAACTGTAAAAAACAAACAGACAATCAACTTCTTTACGGCAGTTTCTGCACACAACTACTGTGCATCAGTTTTTTAGTAAGTTGTAGCTGCCCCCAAACAGATCCTAAATCTATTCGGAAGCCATATTGATGCTCGGAGCTTATAAATACTTGTGTTCGGCTAAGCTTATAAAAAATAGGTCAAATTATCAAGCTGAATAAAATTAAAATTAAGAAAATTTTGTAAACGGCTTTAAATATGAATGCATCCAAGGTGAAACGTGGAGGGCACAATTTGGACTCCAATTGCCATGATAATTTAGGGTCATTTGGCATCACTTGTTTTTTTATTTTTATTTTTGAAAATATATTTGATTGGTATAATTTCTATATATTTTATTTTATTTAAAACAATAAATCAGTTTATTTCAAAAATATTTAAAACTTGTTTTAAAGTTGTTTTAGATTGTTTTAAAATAATTATCTCAATTAAATATGTTTTAATTAAAAACAAAATATAAAAAATAAAATGAAATGAAATAAATAATAATAAAATAATGATATCAAATGGGTCATAAAGAATTTCCAAGTTGTTAATTATTTTAATAATATAGAACATATCAAAATTTAGATTAGAAAATTGTAATTGAATTTTATTTTGTATAAAAATATTAATTTTTTTTAAATAAGCTTGAATCCATTGTGAAATTATTATGATGTAAATTGTTCATTAGTATTTATTATTTATTATTTTCATTTTTTTTAATTATATTTTATTTTAAATAAAAAAAATTTAATTTGTCGTGACTTTTTTTTAAGTGCGAAATTCTTGTTATTTTTAAATTAGATTCGACCTCAACAATTATGTTGGGTGCATATGTAAGCAAACCAATTTTATAATCCAATGGTAGGGTTTAATTTAGATACAGAGCTTCTTTTGAAACTCTAGCTAATAAAAAAGCCATAAATTAAAATAAAAATTTATAAATTTATTATGAATCTATAATTATTAATTTAAAATTTTGGATTTTTTTTTTTTCCATTCTTATTTCTCGAACTACAAACTTAACGAAAAAAAAAAGGTTCGCAGGGGCAGATAGTTTCCCACCAGAGATTCCAGCAATAATGGCCGCCGCCTGCAGGTTGAAGTTGGAGGCTCTTTGTCATGACTCGGAATGGACTTAAAAATTTTAAAGACGGGCTTTCGGTCGGTGAAAATATAATACAATTATTCAAATTCAAAAATAATGAAAGAACCAC